TGCCATGGCGCCTGTCAGGGCATTTATGTGCACCCCCCGAGTGTCAGGGCCAGCCCTGCCCCGGGCGCATGGCGCATGCGTGGTGCAGGCCCTGGGTGTGTGGTGCATGTGTGGCCCCGCCCCCAGGTGCCCGGCAGCCCCAAAAAGTCGGGGACCACTGCTCTAGAGTCTACTTTCTTCCAGGAGTTCAAGCTCTCTTTCAAGCCTACCTTTTTATACTAATTGTTCTGATGTCCTCTCCTTATGGGATTAAGTATTCTGCTCCTTTTTTAGCAGCAGAAAGGAAAACTATCTGAATTCTCTTCTTGTTAAAGAAGGCCTTGTTAAGAAGGGAGGCTCAGTTCTTTCAGTTAATGTGTAACAGGGCTATGACTAGTGGGCTATGACTAGTTATCACTATTTGAAATTACTGAAGGGTTCCTGAGAATGAAGCTGTTTGAGAGACAAGGAAGAGATGCAGAGACATTAGTGTAGTATGTCACAGAAACTAAAAAGGCAGAGACTGTACTGAACACCGCCTCTGACTCAGATAGGAAAAAGGCGCTCTTATGTGCAAAATTTACATATTTGTAGATGGTAAATTTAAAAGAGCGGCAGAGTTTAAGACCCAGTAAAGAACCAAAAAAGGGTGATCGTGGCTTAGCAACCAAGTAAAAGAAGCAGTGACTTCATTTAAAAAGTTGAAGTTAAATCTTAGTGAGGAAAATAGAAAAGAGCAGAAACCCTGTCAAATGAAGTGTAAAAATATAATGAGGAAGGCTAAAAGGGAATCTGAAGAACAGCTAGCCAAAAATTCAAACAGTAATAGAATTTGGTTTAAATAAATCATAAGCAGGAAGCCTTCTAAACCACAGTAGGGCCAGTGGACAACTGAGATGCTAAAGGAACACTCAAAGATGATAAGGTCATTGTGGAAAAATGAAATAAATTCTTTGCATCAGTCTTCATGGCTGAGGATGATAGGGAGATTCCCAAACCTGAGCCATTCTAGTTAGGTGATTAAACTGTCCCAGACTGAGGTGTCATTAGAGGTGGTTTTGGAACACACTGATAAAAACTAAACAGTAACAAATCACCAAGACTAGATGGCATTCACCCAAGAGTTTGTAACTTATGCTTTAAATTAGTTTCTGTACCAAGTGACTGGAAGATAGCTAATATGACACCAATTTTCAAAAAGGTGTCTAGAGGAGATCCCTAACAATTATAGATCAGTAAGTCTAATTTCAGCATGGGGCAAATTTTCTTTGAAGGGGTCAACAAGCCTGTGGACAAGGGGATCCAGTAGATGTAGTATACTTAGATTTCTGGAAAGTCTTTGACAAGATCCCTTATCAAAGGCTCTTGGAGAGAGGTAACTAGTGGTATCACGCAGAGATCTGTATAGGGACCAGTCCTACTCAACATATTCATAAATGATCTGGAGAATGGAGTAAACGGTAAGATGGCAAAATTTGCAGCTGATAATAAACTGTTCATGGTAGTTAAATCCAAAGCAGACTGTGAAGAGCTTCAAAAAGATCTCACAAAACTAGGCAATTGGGCAACAAAATGGCAGCTGAATTTTAATGCGGATAAATGCAAAATAATGCATATTGGAAAACATAATCCCAATTATTTGTATAAAATAATGGGAACTAAATTAGCTATTACCTCTTGTGAGAGATCTTGGAGTCATTGTGGATAGTTCTCTGAAAACATCTATTTAATGTGCATCAGCAGTCAAAAAAGCAAACAGATTGTTAGGAAACATGAAAAAAGAGATAGAAATTAAGACAAAAAATATCTTATTGCCTCTAAATAAATCCGTGGTACATCCACATCTTGAATACTGCATACAAATATGGTCGCCTCATCTCAAAAAATGTATCTTGGTATTGGAAAAAGTTCAGAAAAAGACAAAAAAAATTATTAGCGGTTTGGAATAGCTGCCATGTGAGGAGAGATTAATGAAATAGGGACTTTTCTGCTTGGAAAAGAGGAGACAAAGGAGGAATATGATAGAGGTCTATAAAAATCATGATTAGTGTGGAGAAAGTAAGCAAGAAAAAGTTATTTATTTGCTCCCGTAACACAAGAACTAGGGGTCACAAAATGAAATTAATAGGGAGCAGATTTAAAACAAACAAAAGTACATGCATCTGACGAAGTGGGTCTTTGCCCACGAAAACGTATGTTCCTATAAATCTGTTAGTCTATAAAGTGCCACAGAACTCCTCATCGCTTCTGCAGATTCAGATTAAGACAGCCACTCCTCTGATACTAAACAAAAAGGAAGTATTTCTTCACATAATGCATAGTCAACCTGTGGAACTCCTTGCCAGGGAATGTTGTGAAGACCGGAATTTTAACAAGGTTCAAAAAAGAACTAGATAAATTTATGCAGAATAGGTCCATCAATGGCTATTGGCCACTGAAGGTAAGAATGGTGTCTGCAGCCTGTTTGTCAGAAGCTGAAAATAGGTGACAGGAGAGGAATCACTTGATGATTACCTGTTCTGTTCATTCCCTCTGGGGCACCTGACATTGGCCACCACTGGAAAAGAAGATACTATTTTTTGTGGATGGCAAACCCTGTTTGAATAAATTTTAAATAGGAGCCCAGTGATTTTTCCTTGTTTAAATTAATGTTAAAAACTATTTTTTTCTTACTTGTAAAAAATAAAATATTTTTAAACATTTTGCTTTTCCTTTTCTCTACTAAGAAGCTATCGATGGGACTATTTTTATGAAGTAAAATGTTCTCTTTTGTGCCTCCACGTATTTTTGAACTTTGTATTTTAAAAAATATTTCCTCCTTTCTTTGTCGTCAATTACTTTGTTTGAAAAGACCTTTTGCTTATTATCCAATACTTTATCATTACTAAATGCAACCTAAATCACAAATACACTACAGTATTAAGAATCTGCAGCAATTACCCAAACACTGAGACCAAAAATAAGTCTATTACATGCTAGCATCAAAGTGTTAAGTACTAAGGGTTTCATCTACTCATCTACTGGAACCAATGAGACCAAGTGTGGGTCAATGCAGAGGAGTAACTGTTTTCAATATTGGGCTCTTAGCCTTTTAAGAGCACTAGCAGCCTGCTGCCTCTCAATACAATCTTTTAGAAATTATATAAATTTTACAATGATACAAATAAGCATCAGCAAATCCTATCCCAGCATTCCATGCTAATTAGTTAAAGGACCTGTATTGCTTGCTGAAAACCCTTGCCATTTTAAATTATTTGGAACCCTCATGCCATTTGCACGCCTAGCCTATATAAATATAGTTTTCCCCATTTTCATCTATTGTTTAATATTAGATTGTAACCTCCCCAATGCAGAGATTGTCTCTGCACACACACCTATATAGTTCCTAGCACACAGGGATTTTAATCCTGACTCAGTAATACAACACAAATGCATAATATTAATAATAATAATAAGTAGAACTGGTTGTGAATATAACAGTGATATTCACATTCGTTGATAATTCCATATTGTCTTTACATTGCATTTGGTAGTCTAGATCTTCCCAAAAAGTTACATTTCAAACCACAGAACCTGTTCTCATTGACTGCCCCCAGACCATGCCACTTCAGAAATCACAAAGCACACTAATAAAAAAATAATTAGTGGTGCACTGCCAATATTAAAATTCACCAGTTTTAAATCTGAATTAAAGGATGAGCTGAGGTTTTTTTAAACTACATACTCCTAGATATATTTTGTCTCATTATGTTTTGGTATAATCCCAACTTCTTAATATGTTCATGGACACATCAAGGATTAATTCTGGGATAAATTCAATCTCTACTTGCTTTTAGGGCAGATATGAGCACAGGTAAGTGCTTTAAGTAAATGCACCTTTCAGGATATTCAAATCAACTGTACAAGACATTACATTAGGTGGGGCAGGGAGCAAGGTGCTGAAAACCTCCCCTATAACTAGGCTCTGGTGGTACGGGAGCTGGGGAATGTGAACACTTGAGATTTTTAGGAAGCTGGGAGTGTTGCAAAAGTTATACTTCATGTTTCTCTCCCCCCTTTTCCTGGGATTCTTTGCCCACTCTTCCCAGGCTACAGGACAGGAGGCTATAATTTGGTCATCATGTTTCCACAAAGCACACTGTTTCCTGATAATACTTTTTTTCCCTTTGAATTTCATGCATGTTAATGACTATTTACTATAACATTTGAAAATGGAGATTGTCATACAGTTTAATCTGACATACAGTACAACTTATTTGCACAGCGATCAACAAGTCTGAGGAAACAAGTAGGGCAATATGAGAGTGTTATGAAGGAAAAAGAGGCAGAGAACATGGGGTTGGAGGGATGATTTTCCATGCAACATAACTAGAATTGTCTCATCAGAGTTTTAATCTAGTAACTAAAATATACTGTAAATTGACATGCAATATACGTATTACTGCAGCTTTATGGGAAAAGAAAAAAACAAAAACCTCTCCATGGTAAAAGAAAGTTTTAATCAAAGTGAATGAATGACATGCTTTTTGTCAAACATTTGGTCTGAAGGTTTGTAGTTTAGTAAAATTAATTTTCCCCCTCATATAATATCTACAAAGAAATAATAATTTATTTGTATAAATGGTTTCATTGTATAGGATGAAGTGTGAAGGCTTGTTTCAGCTATGCCTAATGACTGCATAATGTAATGCAAAGCAAATCCACAATTTAAGGAAGTTCTTTCTATGAATGAGAATCATACACAAGGAATGGGAAAAGACAATTTTCAGACTCACCTTCTCTTTATATTAAAAACAAAGAGAAGGGAAAGTTTACTGCAGATATTTCCTTCTCTAGCAGCATGCCTAAAAAAAGCCAAACTTGAAAGTATGAACTGTATACAAAACTATATATTATGTAAATATGAAAAAGTAACATGCCCCAGAGTGATAATCAACCTTTTTCTCATCTGTTTCCTTAAAGATTGATGCATAGCATCTAGAGTCAGAAATGTCCTTTTCAAGGGTTTTTAAGATACTTACGGAGTCCAGAGTATTGGAAAGGCATCTATTTCTTCTTGTGTATATTCATCTAACCTCTTGGGGATTTTCCGTGGCTGAGGAAGCTCCTCTACAAGATTATTACGTATGTCTTCTGGGATAACCTGAGGTAGTAAATAATAAACAATTCTCAGCTTTCTAGCTTTTAACCAATACAACTTTCCTGAAAGCATTGATATTCTGAAGAAGAAACCTAAATTGTGTGTGTAACTACACTTTTCAGAACACTGTTCCATCAGGTCAGTGGATTTAGTGCTAAATGAATCAACCCATCTAATCAACATAATTGAGGTTATTACAAAATAATGTTAGTACCACTAGTTGAACTGGATTTTGAAAAGATATAATATAGATCATCTTACCAGAGAACTTAACAATATATATCCAGTCTTGACTATAATTAAATATATAAATATTGACAATACGCCAACCCAAGGTGGTGACATTTTTTTAAAAAGACAACAGATAAACAATAAAATGCAAATAAATCCCAAGCCACAATTGCAAGATCAGACTAACCCTCCATTCCTACCAAATCATGAGTGAGTTATTTAGAAAAAGAGCCCTGGTTACACATTCACTGGAGTTCAGACCTGGGAATAAAGAACAAAGCATCTCAAAGTAATTTCAGACACGAGTAAGTGACTTGATGAAATGCAAGGGTAAAGGCCGAAGGGCAGAAGTAGTCTCAAAGGCAATCAGAGCCAAGCCAGTTAGTAGTATGTACTATATCATACTCAGCAATCCTTCAGAAGTAATAAGCGTGCTCCAAGAAACGTAAGGTTAATACTGTTATTAGTATCAATATTCCATGTTGCCGTTTGGCTGTGCAACAAAAAAGTACATTACCAGACACTAAAACTAAAGGTATATACAATTTTGATCTCCTCAGTCCAGCTCACAGTCAATCATACTTTTCTAAATTTTTGCTATACAAAATGCAAATTAAGAAACAAATTATTTTTACTGTCTGTTTAATTTCTAATACTTTCCATAGATTGTACCCCCCAAACATAATGCACATGCTTAGAGCACTGAAGCCCTGGGTGTTGACACCTACTATATATTTGAGAGATTTTGTGAGTCTGTCTGTATGCCATCTGTCTGTAAGTCCATTTGTTTAAGAACTACTGCTAAATGGTGAGAACTAGGACCACCAAATTTGGTATGCAGCTTCTTCTTATCATAACTTGAAGCATAAATAGGGCTATCAAGTGATTAAAAAATTAATCACAATTAACTGTGCTGTTAAAAATAGTTACCTTTTATTTAAATAGTTTGGGATTCTGCTTTTACAAATATATTGATTTCTATTATAGCACAGAATACAAAGTGTATAGTACTCACTTTATATGTTAGATTACAAATATCTGTACCATGAAAAACAAAAGAAATAGTATTTTTTCAATTCACCTAATAAAAAAATACAGTTTAGTCTCTAACATGAAAGTTGAACTTTCAAATGTAGAATTATGTACAAAAAACCCCACACTTAAAAATAAAACAATTTACAACTTTAGAGCCTACATGTTCTCTCTGTACTACTTTTTGTTCAGCTGGTCACTCAGAAAAACAAGTTTGGTTACAGTTTACAGGCGATAAAGCTGCTTGCTTATTGTTTACAATGTCACCTAGAAGTGAGAACAGGTGTTCACATAGCACTGCTGTAGCAAGAATTACAAAACATTTATGTGCCAGATGTGCTAACGATTTATATGTTCCTTTGTGCTTCAACCACCTTTTCAGAGGACATGTGCCCATGCTGATGATGATTTCTGTTCAATAACAATCCAAAGCAAAGAAGACTGATGCATGTTCATTTTCATCATCTGAGTTATATGCCACAAGCAGAAGGTTGATTTTTTTTCTGGTGGGTTGAGTTCTGTAATTTGCATATTGGAATGTTGCTCTTTTAAGACATCTGAAAGCATGCTTAACTCTTGGGTCAAAGTGCTGTAGCTATCTTTAGAAATCTCCCATTGGGGTGGACTTTGCATTTTGTTAACTCTGCTGTGAAAGTGTTCTTAAAATGAGCATGTGCTGGGTCATCCTCTGAGATTGCAGAATGTAGAGTACTACAATTCTCCCCTAAGGAGTTCAGTCACAAATTTAATTAATGCATTAATTTTTGAAATGAGCATCATCAGCATGAAAGCATGTCTTCTGGCATGATGGCCAAAGCATGAACAGGCAGATGAATGTTTAGCATATCAGGCTTGTAAATACTTTGCAATGCCAGCTACAAAATTGTGAATGCTTGTTCCCACTTTCAGGTGACATTGTAAATAAGAAGATGGCATTAGTATCTCCTGTAAATGTAAACAAACTTGTTTGTCTCAGTGACTGACTGAACAAGAAGTAGACCAGAGTGGACTTGTAGGCTATAGTTTTACATTGTTTAGTTTTTGAGCACCATTGTGTAACAAAAAATAAATCTACATTTGTAAATTACACTTTCATGATAAAGAGATTTCACTACAGTACTTGTATGAGGTGAACTGAAAATACTTTTTTTTTGCTTATCACTTGTACAATGCAAATATTTTGTAATAAAAATATAAAGTGAGCACTGTACACTTTGTATCATATACTGTAATAGAAATCATTGCATTTGAAAATGTAGAAAAACATCCAAAATGTTTAATACATTTCAATTGGTATTCAATTGTTTAACAATGTGATTAATCATGATTGATTTTTTAAGAAGTAATCACGAGTTAACAGCAATTAACCCATAGTCTTAATTTTAACAAAAATTGACTAAATGACAAAAATGAAAATATATATTAGGCTCTTGGTTTTCCCCAGCAACCACAGCTAGCATATATATTTATGGGTCACTGCTTGGTTTAAAAGACTTCATGTGGAAAGTAATATTTTAGCTCTTCTGCTAATATGCATCTTTACTTGATTTAAGACAGAAAAAGGAAATGGTGTACAAAACAAACATATTTTTTCTGATTACCACTATCCTAATCTCTCTCTGAGTACACATGCTTCATTTATTAAACATAATTTTTATAAATTTTAGTGTAAAGGCTCCCAATCACAATATTCAATATTATGATTACTCTTAGTACAGAAACAACATTTTTAATTATAATCCTAACAGCATTTGCAAGACACTCACTTGTATTTGGTAGTGAGTTTCGGTAGGCTTTAGTCGAATGTATGTCACCTCACTAATGTCATTACCTGTATCTAGAAAATACCATATAAGCTATCAATAGACAGCTAATGTACTGATCACTGACATATACACTTTGACAACATGATTTTCATTGTGTTTGTAATTTGAATTTACCCTTTATACATACACCATACCATTGTATGGTGTATGTATAAAGGGTAAATTCAAATTACAAACACAATGAAAATCATGTTGTCAAAGTGTATATGCCAAGCAGGGCTACAATTACTCCTACTCTAGACAAAGGAATGTGGTTCTACCACTTGGAAGGTATTTCCAAGGTACATTAAAGGAAAATGGAAACACAATTTACATAAAAGATAAACAGGACCATCAAACCAACAAGGGGAAACAACCATGCACCATCAAAGCAATGAGAGGAGACTTCAAAAAAAAAAATTGGCATTTCCGCAAACACCACTGGGCGAAGAAATCAGCATAGAACTTCTTTCACGACCAGACTCCATGTAACCTTCATCCCAGTTTGAATGCGCTTTACTTTTGGTACATCTTTGTAGTGGCGGAGAGGTTTGCATGTTCAAATGACTCCTGAGAATGGTAAAGGGTGAGGTTCCAGACAAAGTGATCCAAGAAGTCCTCAATGGTAGAGCAGATGGAGGATAACTGCACAATGGAGTTGAAACTGTTGTGTAATGTTACAGCGGCTGTGAAGGCAGTTGAAAGCTGCAGCAAATAGTGGATCTCCAATCATCGTGGTGTCCATGCCAAAGGTTTCAAGCCCTCTATCTGTCAAGGGCAGTGTGGTGACTGTTGTGCACCAGTCTCCCCACTTTAAAAGAGGGCCCGCACAAGCATCTTCCAGTTTTTGGGAAAACAACACCTGAACAAGTTAAAAATTGACTGGCAATCGGCGAGTGGCGACGGGAACAGGACAGTGAAATCCAGAAGTTCCTAGTTACAGACCGACACACAGTCAATGAATGTGTAATTCATTCATCTTGCTCAAGGTCTGAGGCAGGTCGAGCATCTTGGCTGCTGCACCCATGGCTGAGCAGTCCTCTTTAGGACCCTCTCTGCTCACCCTCATGGGGAGGAGGCTAAAAAATGTGGCCTAAAAATAGTCTTGCTTCTTTTCCTCCTGGCTGGATAGCCGCATCCAGCGGTCAAAAATGTAAGAAACTTTTTGAACCTGGAACCTGGAACATATGTACCCTGATAAATAGGATTCAAACAGGGATGTATCGTCGCCCCAACTATGTTTGCAGTTTTTATTGCAGTCATTTTCAACCTAATTGCTTGGAAGCCCCCTGCTGGCATTGAAATCATCTACAGAATAGATGGAATGCTGCTTAGGCTTAGTAGGCTGTAAGCTAAGAGTAAGATTTCCACCACATTTATCGTGGAGCTTCAGTATGCTGATGACAATGCAGTTTTTGCCCACTCTGAGAAAGATCTTCAGGCTATCTTGAACATTTTGTGGATGTTTATGCATGTCTTGGTCTCACCCTCAACATCAAGATCAAAGAGCTCCATCAGCCCTCTCCAAATGAGGTACTATGTGCCCCATCAATTAAAATCAATGGAGAGGCACTGGAGAATGTTGATCATTTTCTCTACCTTGGAATTATCTTTCATCCAAGGCAGATATTCATGTAGAAATCCAACACTGTCTGAGCTGTGCCAGTGCAGCCTTTGCTCGTTTACAGCACAGGGTCTTTGAAGATCATGACATTCGAACAGACATAAAACTTCTTGTGTATCAAGCCATCATTCTCTCAACATTATTGTATAGGTCTGAAATCTGGACAACCTACAGACATCACTTGAAAGTCCTTGAGAGGTATTACTAATGCTGCTTCCGCAAGATCTTGAAGATCAAATGGGAAGACAGGTGCACTAACATCAGTGTTCTGGAAGAGGCAAAGACCAACAGTATTGAGACGATAATCTGTCAGCAAATTCGCTGGACTGGTCACATTGTTTGGATGCCAAACCATCACCCCCCAAAACAAGTCCTGTTTTCTCAGCTGAAAGAAGGATACCATAATGTGGGAGGACAATGGAAGTGTTATAAGGACTTGCTAAAGGATAACTTAAAGAAGTGCAACATTGACATTTGGCAGACACTTGCCCAGGATTGCTCAAAAGGGAGACAAGTCCGCATGCTGAAGAGGAAAGGAGGCACAGAAGGAAGGGGAGACTGGCTTCTAGTCACGGTCAACAGTCTCCTGCTGTCCCTGGAAACATCTGTCTTCACTGTAATATAACTTGTGGTTCAAGGATAGGCCTTATCAGCTACATGAGGGTCCACAGCTTCTATAGAAGATGATCATACACGTCAATGAGTGATTGCCCATCATCATCACTTTTAGGGATACTCTTCAAAACAATCTGTTTTAAAGGATCACTGGGCTATAAAAGAAATGGGTAAAGAACACAAAACTGTCTTGCACCTTATATGACAAAAAAACTGAGCTCATTAGGACTCTATGGGAGATCCTGATGGGCTGGTCAGTCATTTCAATGAAAGGTAGATTGGTAAGGAAAGTATCTTGAACAAAGGTTGTGGTTTGTTTTGTTAAGACTGTTTTCTCTTACGTATCCATTTCCTAATGGGTCTTAACAAGGGCCACTTTTGCTTTTATAATAGTCATGCAAATTAGTAATGTAAGCATAAGAAACCTTTTCAGAGGTTTCTAGGGTCAAATTTTGCTGTACATGTAGGTGGCTTGTTGGAGAGAGAGCATTTTCCTTACAGTACATTCTCTTAAAAGATTACTCTAATATTCATTAGAATGAAATGTCACTTATCTTTCTGCATTTGTATGTCCTTGAAAACAAGGTGAAACCATATATTGTAATTGCAGTAAGACACATAACTAGCACTGTTCAAAACAGAGCTGGAATAAAGTACAGTACGGGGGCGGGGGTCAGGGTCGGCACCGGCATGTGCGGCGCACCCGGGGCCGGCCATGCGCCCGGGGCTGGCACTTGCCGCACGGCCAGGGGCGGGGCCAGCCCAGATTGCTCTGCGGGTGCATGTAAAGGGCCCGGCAGGTGCCATGGCGCCTGCGGGCACCGGGTTGGGGACCATGGATTTAACCTATAGAAAGCATTTTTCATTTTTATTTGCTTGTAACCATTCCCAGCTAGAGTCCTTTATATGTGACTCACTTGAAATTCTACCTTCTTTTGTTCTACTTGTTTTTCTTTTAATGTAAATTGACCTAGCATTGTATTTGAATTTTAAGTGAATGTTAACGCAAGTTACTGTGACAAGTTGCTGGGTATTGTCTCAGGGTGCATCTAAGCAGCAGATTTTAAATTGGAATAAACTATGCAAATTGAGCATCTTATTTCAAAATAACTTATTTCGAAACTGGGAGCATCTAACAGCATTTATTTCAAAATAGAGCACTCTTCCTCTGACTTCCCTTACTCCTCATATAATGAGGGTTACAGGAATAAGAAGTCCTCCAACTTGAAAGTATTTTGACATAACTGCCTGTTGTGTAGACGTGGACTAAGTTATTTCGAAATAATGTTGCTGTGCAGACGTACCTTCAGGGAATGCTTGTCTACTGGCTGGAAATGTCCTGCCCAGAGAGCTACAGCAGCAGAGCATTTTGAAGCACTCGGGTGGGCAGTGGCACAACCTTACACTCCAGAATGTGGACTAGTCTGATGAATGAGTATCATTTGGTTTAGGAACAGTGGAGCTCAAACTTCCTTCTATGTAGAGGCATTATGCTCTGTAAAGTAATTTAACAAGTTCTGTCCCTCCTTGAGAAGCAAGCATGGTGACCCTTCAATAGTGAAGATTCTTAGTGGCCCATGGAAATTCTTTTTGAGGGGGAATTTTGTGCACTGGAAATAACTTGGGGACACTTTTCCTATGGCTTGTGAATTCACAGGTTCATTTTTATGCTTGAAATCTTAGCTTCGCCACTGTAGTGCTTCACTGTAAAAATTACCTACCACAAGAGATGGGGTTCTCCCACTGGTGAAAGTAATCTACCTGCTGAAGAGTTGGTAGCTAGCTCAATGGAAGGTTTCTTCAGTCAGCCTAGTGCTATCTATACTGAGGGTTAGGTGGTTTAATTGTGCCACTCACAGATGTGGATTTTTCACACTAAACTGATTTAATTTTCCAGTGTAGACCAGGCCTTAAATATGGAAAATCAGTTCATGGAAGCAAAGTGTACAGATACCGTGCTCTATCTTGATTTCCAGTTAGAAATAATCTTGAACAGTAAAAGATCCTTTGTTTTAGCTAAAATACAGAACAATAAGCCTTCTATTGTGTAACAATATTTTCAAGCTGCCTTTTAGCTATACATAGAAACAAGCTGCTTTTTATTTATCTGTCTTCTCATGGAGAGATTTCTATAACCAAAGCTATACTTCCTCACAGCATGAGAAATCAAAATATAACCAAGTACAGTTAATGACTTACATCTTCTGGAAAGAGGTGCAGCCTCTGCATCATAGTTCTTCTGTGCAGGTTCTTTGGAAGCATTCTATAAATAGCCAGTTTAACAATCTGTAAGAGACATATATGTATTATGAAAAAATACATCTATGTATGAAGCAGAAATGCCAAAAGAGCATAAACAGTAAGAAAGTCTTAGGCTGGGCTTCTTCCTGTATATTCCTCCATATCCTGGACTTTGCTTCAACAACTTCCCCCTTAGGCCAGAACTCCAGATTTGGAGGTGGAGCCTGACCATTCCAAAAGGCCAGATGTTCTGGCAACTGTGAGAAGAGCAGCAGAAATTGGAGGGGCCAAGGCTGTGTTCCTGTGCACTCAACAGCCTTAGAAGCACAACACAGTGGAAGTCCCCATCACTTTCTGTGATGGGGCAGCAGAAGGGAAACCATTACTCAACCTTAGCTCGTGACCACGCAAACCACCTCATTGGGCAGAATTCTTTCTAAATACTATACTTGCTCAAGATTAAAGAGCATTTACAACTTTCCTCCTAATTTAACAGATACATATCATGTTTCCCAGGATGGAAGCTTCCAGAGTGAGCTAATTTGTAGTGGAGGACTAGATATGTTGATAGGGAAGAAGCCATTGTGAATCTGAAGGTTCAAGGCAATCTGAGTGAAAGTGGATCATACAATAATAGATTTCATGATTCCAAGAAAGCAGTGAGCAGCAGCAGAATAAGAACAACAGACTCCAAAAAAGCACATTTTAACAAAACTCAAGAGAAGTGATAGATAAGATACCATGGTAAGAAATAAGTGATAAAGGAGTTCAGAAGAGTTGACAATTTCTCAAGGAAACAATATTAAAGCAAAGTGCAAACTATCTTAGCATGAAGGAAAAACAGGAAGACTAGTCAGGAGGTCAATATGGTTCTATGAGACCCCAAGGTCTGTCTGAGTAACAGCTTTTCCTGAGTGGAGCTGTTTAGATACTCTACTTGCTTAGGACCCTTCCCAAAGACACCATGTAGTGCTAATTGCTTTGATGAGAAAACATGGAAGTTTAAATTAAATTAAAAAAAAGCTCAACAGAATTTGAACTACGGCTAATTTTGCAATATAAAAAGGCATAACATAAAAAGCAGCACCAAACAGAGACATTTACAAGGTGATACTTCTAGCTGTAAGAAGAGTGTGATGTTGTTACTACTAAATACAAAAGATATTCAATTGAATTTTACAACAAAAGAATAGAGGACTACAGAATTCTAAGAAAGCTAATCTCTAGTTCATAGAAGATGTGCATATGGATTCAGTATTTCATTAAATGTGACATAATTTCTTTCAGTAAAATAAAATGTTCCTATATTTTAACTATACATTTCCAATAAACAGAACTCCAGTTAAAATGATGTCTTTTATGTGCTGATGGAGATTAGATTAAGAAAAACCCTTAAACAACAGGGTCTATTCCTCTGAGTTGCTGCATATCCACAACTCACAGTAAAAGCTAAGGAATGGATTCCCATATGTTTTCCCCAAGTCTGTGTCACAAAGCTTATATCAATATATCCAGAGCAGACAAAATTTTCAAAAACAGGAACCAGAAGTCAAATGCCTAAATCCATAGTTAAGTTTCCATTTTTGAAAATTACAGGAATAAGTAAAACAAATTCAAAGGTGGGTATCAATAAAGCAATATCAATTTCACAGTCCATTCTGGTTAATTTCACAATCATAGGATTTTAAAAATAATAATTTTCATGATTTCAGATATTTAAATCTTAAATTTCATGGTGGTGTAACTGGAGGGGTGCTGACCCAAAATAGGGTTTTGGGGGAGGTGGGCATGGTAAGGTTATTGTAGGAAGGTTGCAGTATTGCCACTCATATTTCTGTGCTGTTGCTGGTGCTGCCTTCAGAGCAGCCACCACTGCCCAGCCACCCAGCTCTGAAGGCAGCTGTGCATGAGTAAAGGCGGTATGGTACGGTATTGTCATCCCTATTTTGGTGCTGCTGCTAGTGCCACTGCCTTCAGAGTTGAGCACTTGGTCAGCAGCCACCATTTTTGCACAGGAGCAAGAGTGGTAATACCATGACTCCAGTACAATAATTTTGTGACCCCTGCAACTCCTTCTTGTGTCAGGACCCCTAGCTTGAGATATGCTGGTCTCCCCTGTGAAATCTGTACAGTACAGGATAAAATTACACAAAAGATCATTTTCACAGTCCATGATATGTTTTTCATGGCCGTGAATCTGGTAGAGCCTAATCATAATGCTTTTCTTCTAACTATTTAAGTTATAGTGAAAGTATTTCATGACTCAAGAGAAGCTGCATCATTCTGACTTCCATAGTTTGATTTGTTAATACTTTCCTGCAATTTGAATATCTGTGTACTATATATTAATTGCACTTCATTTCCAATCCACCCCATCTCACTCTCCATTACTGCTCTGCACAACTATTTAAAACTCTAGAATTACTGGAGTACTTTAAACTGATATCATTCAGAGAACACAATCCTGAAAAGTATTGAGAGCCTTCCACACTTTGCAGGATTAGGCTCAAAATGAGAAAAAGATTAAGAATAGTAAAAGCAATTTTTTTCATCCAGAACCAAACCTGAGATCAAACCACGTGTGAAGTCTTGCTGAGAGTATTTAGAACTTCTAAGATCTTGATCCTGTTCCAATATTCTTCCCAATTCATAGCATACTCAGTTCTATGCCTCTACTAATCCAGACTTTGAAGTTTTGCTCTGGTTGATTAAATACTGTTACCCCTTCCCATCATTTTAAAAGAAACCCTCTTTTTGATGTTTTACAAGCGGTCTTTTGATATGTGCATTACCAACCTAAAATTACACCATGCATTCCCTAACCCAAACTGCAGTTTTTCAAAGACCACCTGTAAGGATTTTTACCATGTTTTCTGCCCCAGATTTTTCTGTTAAAAGGTAATTGTTATACAGATGCAATTCAAGTCTATGCATGTAAGTGATTTTTAAATAACATTCAAATGGTAAGAATGTTTTACACTCCCTGCAGCTGCACACATCAGGGCAATGATTACATTGTAGGCTTCCTCACAGCACACTGTCAATGTTAAATCTTGTCCTGTTTTATAATTATTCGTAGTAGGTGAAGTGCAATCTGAGTAACTGTCAATAACTAATTCTTTGCAAGTGGCAACACAATCTTTAAAAACAGTCGCCAACTCACATACAGTACTTCTCACTTTTTTAGAACTGGTTTATGCTCACTAATTTTCATGTGGACTTTCCAAAGTAACTAAATAAGCAATTGTCAATTAAATTTTGCTTATATTTTCAGTTAGAAAGTACAGTGACAGGCTGAATCTGGTCCACCAAGCACTTCTCTCTGGCCCACCCATGCAGAGCATGCATACTTACAGGCAGCATGTGTTAGGCTGCCCCATCCCTCCCCTTGATTATATTGAAGCAGCATGGAGAATACCAATACTGGGGTGAGTGATGTGGCAGAGGGACCATCCAATTTTTTTAAAAGCATGCTTAAGTAAAGAGAGAAGGGGAAGTGTAGCAGGAAAACTATATAGGCAGAGGAGTGAAAGAAATAAGGGATCAAAGCTAGGAAAAAGAGGAGGGAGAAGAACAGAGAAGTACAGGGAGGAGCAGGTAGAGAAAGATAAGAGAATGTAACAGGAACACAGTTTTAAGAAACAAGACAGCTAATAGAATGTGGAGGATAAATAGTTTTTACTCTCCTTTGAGACAAAAATCTTTCTTAGCTGTTTTTATTACATCTAGAGTATGAAGTTTTCACTTACATATCTAGAGCCTAGAGCAAAATAAATGGTGGATTAGCATATATTTCCACTTGCAAACATACTGTTTCTAGTTACATTTATAGATACAATAAAGCTAATCTTGATGGTTTCTTAACTATACATGGAGTATAATCTGGTAGTTTTCCCTATAATTCAGGCCCTGTGCTCAGCCATCCTTGCCATTTCATGTAGTTACAAAATACTGTTGTCTGTGAAATTCAGGTAAGAAATTTAGAATATTCATCCAAGTTGTTAAACAATTTCATGCACATTCTGCTAATTGTCTTGTCACTTTGTACAGGGTGCAGACAAACTGCTTGTTGCACTACATGGTCCACTACACTTATGAAGATCATAATATCTAGACAGACAGAATATTTGGCATACTAAGTCTACAATTTCTAAATCATTACTGTGACAAAAACATGGAAATCAGATCTCTTTCTGATCTCTCTAACCACCAAATATGATTTTTTTGCTTTGAACACAGAGTGAGGTAATTCCCCACAGTCCCTGAGACACTGTTGATTAAGAAAGCCTCTCTCACTAAGAACTGTAAGATGAAATTCTGAACTCTATCACCATTTGCTGAGTCTTTGTTTAACATGTTTTAACTATTGGAAATGAGAGATTTGTCTTAAATTAATTTCTCTGGGATCAATGGGAGTTTGGCAAGAAAAATAAAACTCGAGTGAATGCCAGAAGGGAATTTATAAAACTTCCACATCTTAGGCTCTTGCATATAAATTAGGCTATAGTGCCTCCTAGTGTACAGATACTAATATCTGAAGGTCAAGCAAAAATGACAGACAACTGATTTTGGACAAGAGACTAATAGTGGTTTACGAATTCAGTACAGACATATTACAGCTTCTCCTTTAAGTGTTTTTTTGTTTTGCTTTATTTGAGCACGATTAAACAACTGACTATAAGCAGCAAAGTTCTTTCAGGGCAGAAATTTTTTCCTTTTTTTTTTTTGGTCTGTATATGTACAGTGCCAAACACAACAAGATCCTGGTCTATAACTCCTAAATGGTACTGTAATACAAACAATAACATTTCACAGATGAATAATCTGGTGTGAATAAAACCAAGTGTTTTAAAATTAGTTATATAAATGTTCTTCAGCCAAATTCCTTTGAAGACAATGGGCTTTAACCAGGCCCTATGGATTTGTGTCTTAAATGGGTTAGGGCAGAGGGGCCGGAGCACCCCTGCCGGGGTGCGCTGCTGCAGACGGGGGATGCGCTGGCAAGGCTGGAGTGTCCCTGCCTATGGTGGGCCCCACGGGGCTGGAGCAGCTCCCTGGCCACGGTGGGTAGCGGGCTGTTAACCATACATAGTAAGCCTCACCATAATGGGTGATGCTTACTGGTTAACCATTAACACCCCTCATGTCTACATAGCAATTAGACACTTGTGGCTGGCCAGTGGCACCGGAAGTGTGCTTGCAGAGCTTTGACTAGGGAACTGTTTAATTAGTGCAAATGTCCAGCTTGGCTTCTCCCACATCACAGGGTCCCAGTGCCCAGGCCACACCCTTAGCCCAAACATCTCAATTAAACAGCCCATCAGGCCAAGCCCCACAAGCCTGAACCAGATAGTGTGAGCCAGCCACAGGCTTTTAATTGCAGTGTAGACATACCCTCTAATCCTCAGAGTTGCTGCATGTCCACAACTTGCAGTAAAAGCCAGGAAATGGATGCCAGTGTGTTTTTCCCAAGTCTGTGTCACACAGCTCATATCTGTATATTCAGAGCAGGTAAGGTTTTCAAAAACAGGAAACATAAGTTAAATGCTTAAATCCATAGTTAGGTTTCCATTTTTGAAAATTCTGGCAATCAATCACAGTGATTGGACCTCCCTGGTCTGGCACCCTCCGGAGCTGAATGGTCCCAGAGCTGGGTTCTGTGCTGGGCTTCCCACCTCCCCTCTCCCTGCTGGGAACAGGGCAGAAATCAAAGGGGAATGAAGGAACATAGAAAGATAAAGCATGAGAAAAAAACCAAAGACTGTGAAGCATATTTAGACCACCAATTCAGTAAAGTCTCCCTATTACAGCATGAGCTGAACTGGAGTCACACTAAAGAGAAGAGAAAGAGCAGAGAAGAAGGTGAAAGAGTGAACAGGTGGAGAAGAAAGAACTCACTGTAACCGTAAAGAAGAGGGGAGAGTGATATAATGCAGAAGCTGGTCAGTCAGAGGATCCCAACTACAAGCTAACACTAACATTTCTACTTTCCACCTTTGCAGTACCTAGGTTGTTGGTTTTTTTAAAGAAAAATCTGGTAAAAGGTGAAATGGAAGAGCTTGATTCAGTTTTTTGTCCATCGGAATAACAAATAAATATGATAAAATAGGTTCCCTAAACTAAGAAAAGCAAAAGTAAAAATGAAACACTGGTACTCACCGCTGTTGGATCTTTTATGTGAAGCTGAGCTGCTGTCACTTGCTTGAAGCCACCCGGGTAACTAAAAACATCCAAAGAAATGTAAATTTTTTTGCTTGTGTGTAGTTAAGAAGTTGGTGGCAGAACATGTAACATCTAGAGGAGAAGTGCAGCCTTACTTTAAATCTGTAAACAGATGAAGAAGTGCTTCCCACTAAGATAACACATTTTTAATGTAGAAACATTCTAGGAAGTGCCTTATATACAAAAGCATTTAATAGTATTTGTACTTTCTTGTCTGCTCACTTGAGTACTCACATGTAGTCCTTTCACAAATGGTTGTGGATAGGAGAAAAGATATAGGTAAACCATCACGATAATAATTATACAAGATATATCAACATACAAATAGTTCAGTAAAATGTGCTGAATTATTTAGTTGCTTGAGGTGTTCAACTGCTAACCAGTCAGTGGCTTTCATATATGTAAGATTGTACTAGCTTTTTTTACTACTTGACCGTTACTCTGTTGTTTACATTTTATCCGCATATTGGCACAATATAGCATATTTATTGTAATATGACATGACATACTGTGAAACAAATTCAACTCTGATGTAAGCAAGGACAGAATGTATTGATTTCAACTGGAATTCAATTTCTGTCACAATCTAGAGATTAACATATTTAATATTAAAACAGTGAAACAAAATAAGCCAGTAAAAAGACACCATTTTTTTCTAATATAGTGTTTGATTCTGTAAGCGCTTAAAAATTATTATTTATAATATGTTAATTGAGTACTATGAATTTTAAGCAGAACAGAACACAAGGCTGAAAGGGTTAAATATGGTCAGCTGATCACAGCTAGGTAGGTAGCAAGTTACACTGTGCACAAACTATTATCCCAACAAACAGCTTATTATTATGATTATCATTATTTTGTTCTCCATTCTCCAATCCACTTTTGTTTGTCTTTTCCACTTGTTACAAGTTATTTACCTAGATTGTAAGCTTTATGAGGGTAGATGTTATTTTTACTGCTGTTATAAATTGTACAGATCCTACAAATGTAGTATTTTTTCCAGTTACTGATCTGAACTATGCATTTGTTCCAAAGCCTCCTGAAGTCAATGGATCAGCTACAACTTTATAAAATCTTCAAAATTGAAAATATGAATTTCAGTACATATAATACATTTAGACTATTCACTTATAACTGAAGTTATTTGAATACAATTATAATTCCCTCCCTCTGCCAGTACCCTCAACTCCACTTTTATGTTTTCCATACAATTTATTCATTTTCAGAACAGATTTTAATAATTAGAGGTAATCCAACTAATGTGGTCATGTTAGAAACATGGGAGCAATTGTTCTTATTTGCTTTGACTGACTGATTATAATTCGACAGAAACAAATTTTACCTACCAGTGCTCCATACAGAAGCTTGGGAAATAACCATTACATCAGTTTTATCTCCATAGCACCTCATCTCTTAAAAGTTCTCTCAGTGAATTTTAGAAAGAATTAAATCACTCAGATGTAACATCAAAGTGCCTTCTTTTATCTTTTAATCTGGTTAAATCTTTTGCACTGGAAAATGATAATTTCGTTTTTGCTATTTGCCCTTTGGTCTACTAACATAACTCAAGATGACTTCTGGACTCCTTTTAAATTGCTGGTTTCTGTATAGTTGACTTTTTTAGTATTTTAGAAAAAAAAAACTTTTGCTGTTTAACCAAAATGATATTCCTGTTCTTTGGCGTCGTCTGCATCCAATAAGATTGTTTTGCTAGGGAAATTTAACTGATGCCTTCTTCTGATGTATTGTTCTCAGATTATTTCCACAGGCAGGATGGATAGAGAAATTTAACACAACACAAGATTTATAACACAATACAGAAGGAATTTCCTTTGAATTCACATTTTATATTTAAATTTACTTAAAAACAAAACAGACTTCAGCATCAATCTCTATAACTAACTTCTTTGAGCATTTACTATCATATCATGGAACACTTACCCTGTGTGAGAAGAATATACTTTCTGCTCCCATTTGTTACCAGAAAATGCAATATGTCTTGTATTTATGATGACAACATGGTCTCCACAGTCGCCTAGATTATAAAGGACAGAAATTTCAATAGGAGCTATCATGTCCACACAAAAAATATTCACAGAAATAAAGCAAAAATCATATTATAATGCATCTGTGATGAGGTGGACCAGACCCTGAGGCCCCCTGCTGGAGGCCTTGTGGTCCTGACACACCCTTCCCAGAGAGACTATAGAGAAGTTCTCCAAACAGGCTAGAGTGGCAATGGAGGATGCAGCCAATCAGGGGCCAAGAAGGTCCTATAAAAGGAACTGCATAGAAGAGTAGTAGTTAGTTGCAGTGTGGAACTCAAGGGATGCCGACTGGATAAGGAACTAGCTAAGAGAACAGCAGTACTGAGGACAGCTCCCTGTGGAGAGCTTTTTGTAGCTGGGTGGACTATGCTGGGACTTGGAGATAAAGCCTTGAGGTGAGGGCGAAGACGTTGTCACCAGAAAGTGAAGCCCTAGAGGCACCACTCTGTTCCGAGTGGGGAATGGACTCAAAAGGATACTACAAAGGGCACCGAGATGGACACTTTTTAGATGTGTACCCTGGAAGGGGTCTGTTTTGATTCGCACGCAGAGTGGTGTGACACACAGCCAGAGGGCTGAGTTGCCAAAGAGACTTTTAAATAGAAGACGGTGCAGGCACATGCACTTGGGAGGCCCACCAAAGGTGAGTGCTGCCAAGTTATAGTCTCAAATGAGATAACTGCTAAATAGCACCACCTTTAACATAATAATATAATGGTTCCATAAACAGACAATTTATTTGCTGTTTTTGTTATCACTACATTAAAAAACTAACAGCATTTAGGACATTACCACAAATGCTACTTATACAATAAATGAATTATGAATTATTAAATATAGTACTGTTTAAGTAGTGCAATACTGTTTAAGTAGTGCTTTATACATTAAAAGTTTTGTTATCTTACTAAAAATATTTTAACCTATTTCATGAGAAGCAGCAAACCAAATAAAATCCTTCTAGAAACAACCTTTCTTCCCTGCCTTGAAGTTAAAAATTAAATGAGTGTGAAGGTGAAACATCAAAAGATCTTTTTGCAGGGAAAGATCAAACCCATTAATTTTCAGGAAAGTTTGGTCTCAACTGACATCTTGTGGATAAAAGATGTTTTGCATGTTTAAAATACACATTATTAAAATCATTCCTACAATCATATTGTAAGTTATACCTTCTACTATGTAAAATAACTGATCCAAGTTTTCATAGGAAAATTAGTTGCAAAACAATTTTACCCACCACAAATCAATATTAAATTCATTATTTCAAACATGATATTAACAAACCATAGCAAGCACCAGTTTAGCAATACAGATAACGTTCTGGAACAGGGTTGTTCATATTCATATTTAATAAAAGACTATGAACTAACAGTGTGCACAAGGTTGAAAGTGTGTTTATTTTAGTCTTAGTAAATCTTTGCTAGAATTTGCACAACCACTGTGAAAAGATTTTCCATGTCATAATCAGCATTGGGGACAGGAAGCACCTTTTTGTAAAATTACCTGGGACAAAAGGGTCTTAATCTATTAATATGGTTCCCTAAGTGTGATAGTAACAGAAATAAACTCTAATGCTTTCACTGCAGATTAGTCAGCCTGGATGAAGGGAGACAATCTCTTGGTTTAAATTAAGATACAAGGGTCAATAAACAAGCTGGCTGTGTCTACACTGGCACCCTTTTCTTTAAAAGGGATGCTAATGAGACACTTCAGAATTGCAAATTCCGTGGGGGATTTAAATATCCCCCGCGGCATTTGCATGAACATGGCTGCAGCTTTTTTCCGGCTCGGGGTTTTGCCGGAGAAAAGCGCCAGTCTAAACGGGATCTTGCGGAAAATAAGCCCTTTTCCGGAAGGTCCTTTATTCCTATTCCTTGAAAGTAGGAATAGGACACTCTTCTGAAGAAGGGGCCAGTCTAGACATAGCCAGAGGGTAAATATTGCAGAATGCATGGAAAAAGGAAGTGCAACAGGAGAAAGGCACCAGAACAGGAGAGACAGAGATGCACCAGGACATGATGGGCTTCTCTGGCAGCCAACTCAGCTGTTGCAGACTTTTGTGGATCTCCGGTTTCAACAATCCAGGGCCCTAATTCTACTGCTGTCTGTGGAGAACTGCAGCACAGAGCCTCCCAACTCCCTGTACCTGCATTCCTTAAGGCATGGATACCTATCCTTACCATTCCAAACCAGGAAAGGCATGGACAACCACAGATTCACCTACATGGACCTGTGAGCGCCTCAGTTGATGCATGTGTAGCTACAAAAAAACCTTTACTAAAGTTTACCTTTACTATTTACTGAGTTTCCTAAATTTCAGTTAAAGCCAAAGAATTTAAAGGGCTTTTTGCGTTTTTACAGCTAAAAAACAGGATAGGACTGATCCTAAATAGGATCAGTGCCGAACAGTGTAGTCATAACAACTGGAAAAGGTGTACCCCATTGTTAATAGGTACACTGTCAAGTGATAAACACACAGATAAACAGCAAACACTACACAATTCTGAAACAAGTCTGAAACTATGGCATGAGGTGGAGCATAGTGCACCAACACACACATTACTACAGCTCACTGCTCAAATGTTTTTTCAAAGCGTAAGTCACACAGCTTGTCTGATGTTCAAACTTAGCAGATAGCGCCACCTCCTCTCCTGAGGCAAGGTTTCTTGCTTTGTTTCATACATATTATGCAGGACTCAACAGGCAGCTATAACCATTGGGATATTTTTCACACTGAGATCCAATCTGGTGAGTAAACACCACTAGCATCTTTTCAATATATCAAAAACACATTCAACGCTCATTCTGCACCTGCTGACCCTGTAGCTGAATCTTTCTTTGATGTTATCAGGGTGGCACCATATACAGGTTCAAGGTTCACGTGTAGGTACAAAGAACCTTGTTTATTTACTAAGGTTCCTAAATTTTAGGCAAGATCCCCTAGGATCACTATTGATATTTCAATATTGCCAAAGATAATCTGTCAGTTGGAAAAGAACACTCTGGCTTGTAGCGTTCTTAACAGTATTACAGTAAAATCGTGAGTATAATGCACACCTATGTATAATGCGCACCCTACCTTTTCAATGTCAGAATCATGGAAAAAACTGAACTCCTATATATAATGCACACCTATATATCTACACTCCTGCCAACAGGTCCTCCAGCACCAAGCCCAGCCTCGCCCACTTCCTGGAGCTGGCCCCAGGCTGCCTGTGCACCACGCTGAGCTTGCGCCTGCCATGGGGACCCCCCGCCTCCCTGGACAGCTGCCCTCGCGCTGCGCCCAGCTTGCACCTGCTGCGGGGGCCTCCGGGTGCAGCTACCTCCTCCAAGAGCCTCTCCAAGTGGAGGCTCCACCAGACCTGCAGCCTGGACCCGGCCATCAGCAGCAGCTGCAGCCGAGAGTAGGGGGACGGCCCAACCAGGACACCCTGGGCCAGGGCAGTTTGCGGCTCCTCACCAGAGTGCTTCACAGCCTTCTCCATCCCGTGCCCTGCTGCACTTGGGGGGCGGCGTGCTCTGCGGCTCACTCTCCACTCCCAGCCTGCCATGGGGGCCCCCGGGCGGAGCAAGGGCATTGCAGCCTGGCGGCACTACCTGCTCCTCGCCTTGTCTGGGAGCCAAGATAAACTTTAAAAAATATCTGCTATGTATAATGCGCACCCCGACTTTGACCCAGAAAAAATAGGAAAAAAAGTGCGCATTTTTACGGTATGTCCTTAAAGTGTGAACACTATGCATGTTCCCTTACCAGCCAACACAGATGTAACTGAAGATCCCTCATGATTGATGAGCACTTACATAACCATTTAAAAGTAGCCTTTTCTGTTGAGGTACTCTGTAGCAATGTGATATGGAGCAAAAGTAAGGATGTGCCTCTCGTATATTGCTTCTCAGCATTTTGGGCATCCCATAGCTGTAAAACCACCCACATTGCTGAGATTCACATTTCTGCATAGCAGATTATTAATGGCCCTGTACACTTGCATGATAATGGTCATCAGAGATTTTCCTCCTCCACAATGAGGTTCCATTGACTGGTAGCAATTTGCCATAGCAAATTTTCATTGTATGACTGCCACTTGCTTCGCCACTGTCAAAGCAGCTCTCAATTTGTGGTCCCTGCATTCAATGGCTGTGGCAAGCTCAGCACACAGATATAGGAACGTGGCCTTATGCTTCCGAAAGTATTGCAGCCACTGTTCATCATCCTAAACCTACATTATGATGGGACCCCCCACCAGTAAATGCTCATTTCTTAGTCCCAGAAGTGGCACTCCACCATTTGCAGCTGCTTCACAAATGCCATCCAGAGCCTTGAATAGGCTCTTGCTATGTCCCTGGAGCAAACTGACAGCCAGCTGCTCTCGCAGTTCTGCAAATAACAGAACATTCTTCATGTTATGCTTGAAGTGCTCATCACAACACTGAAGAACAGTATAGGCTACATATTTCTGGCACAGATAGCACACAGTGTTACACACTCGCCCTGTGCGAGTTCATAAAAAATTGAAAATAGGAGCAAAAATTATGGGATCAATATATTATGAGATCGAAAGCACTGTAGTATAGAAAGCTGACACCTTGCTCCCAGTCACCCTTGCATGAGTCTTTTCTTTCCCAATATGCATTGACAAAACTACCCTTTCCCAATATGCATTGACAAAACTACCCAAAAGATGGGGATGCTTACAGAGTACACAAAGCCCATCAATATAACTCACACCTTCATTTGTCACCTGCAGATATCCACACAACTTTCCAAGAACTACAAATAAATCAACAAAAAACATCAAACATCATTCAGAAATCTAGGATTTCTGTTTAGTCAGCATGAAGCAATGGAAACACACATAAGCATGGCAGAGAACCTCATTTTTTGAGGGTTACAGGATCTTTCGAAATGGGGCATTTCTGTCTAACGATCCCTGTCTTGACTGCATTTTTTTTTCCGAAAAGCAGCTTTTTGAAAAAAAAAAGCCCCAGCCGCCATTATGTAAATGAAGCACAGGAAATTCAAATCCCCACTTCATTTACAATTTTGATATGTCTAATTTATATCCGTTTATCGAAAAAGGGATGTAGTTTAGAATTACCCCAGGGTTCTAGATGTGGCACGCAAGCCATTTTGTTTACCATTGCCCATGCACAAGACTGTAAATCTCTGCTGGTTTCCGTCCATGTAGCTTACCACCTACGACTATTACTAAAGTAACACACTTGTAAAGCAAGAGCACTTTGACTGTGAACTATGCCCTCCCTCTGCATCCCATCAAAGCGCTGCTACAGTTCAACAGGCACACCTTGCAAATTTGAGATATGTAAGCAGAGTTAGCAAAACTACCCTATTCCAGGAGACAGTCTTGGTTACGACAATCTTGCGGCCTGCTGAGATGAAAGAGGGCCACTCATGTGGCCCATTCGCTACCCTACGTTGCCCATCACTTGTTCAGAATATCACCAGATTCACAGTCTGTTACTATCCAATTTTTAAGTTCTCAGCTATTTTCTGCTTTTTTAACACACAACTTCACAAATCATACCTGTGCAAAAACACAAGCTTACAGCTATAGGATGAACTTCTGTAGTCCAGCACTCTCTGGTCCAGCAACATCTGTGGTCCAGCATGATTTTAGTTAGCTTGGGTGTGGCCAAGTTTCCAATGGTCCCATAAAGTTTGTTTAGAGCCTCCTGTTCTGGATCTCAGTGTTTTGTGCTTTTATTTAGCACTAATTCACCCCTAATTATCTTCTAAGAGCCCAGTAAGCAATGGAAGTGCTGGTAATGCTGCTAGACAATATTGACCTCCCGTTATTTGGCAAATTCTCTGGTTTGGCAATGGTCAGGCCTGGAGTAGGGATGTGAATGTGTACTCATGTACATGGTTAACTGATGAGCTTGGGCTCATTGATTAACCCTCCTGGTTACACACAGTCCTCACCTCTGGCTGCCTCCCAGAGGCAGCAGTGCGAGGGGAGGAGGCTCTGTGGGACTCAGCAGTATGGCAGGAAGGGAGTTTTGCGGCTGTAAGATGGCTTGTTTACATTGAGTAACTGCAGGCATGGCAGCCCGTAGCTCCCAGTGGCTGCAGTTCACCATTCCCAGGCTATGGACACTCAAGATAAACAAATAAGGAAGCACTCTGCCACCCTATGCTGCTGCCTCTCTATCAGAGGCAGCAGCATGGAGCGGCAAGGGAGGCTGATCCATGAGGAGAGCCAGTTTAAAAACCAGCCAGTTAAAAAACTTGCTCAAAACCCCAATGGTCAGGGGCTGCTGCCGTAGAGCAGCCTCTTTGTGGCAGACCCAGAGTAACCATGGACAGAAGCTGCTCCATGAGATGTGGAACAGCCTCTGTCCACGGAAACTCGGATTCCCCATGGACAGAGGCTGATTTGGGGAGCTGGTACGGGGGGGGAACCAGGTTTAAGCCAGCTCCCCCCAGCACTGGCTTCTGCCTACTCCCTTCCCCCCACTCCCATAGGGGGCAGCAAGAGAGGAGCAAACGGGTCCATGGAGCTGGCTCCCTGTGCGTATGGCCTCCAGTGTACCCCTCTCACCTTGTGCTGCTGCCTCTGATACAGGGGAAGGAATGCGTGTAGTCGACAAGATTAACCAATAAGATCAGACTTATTGGTTAATCGTGAATTTGTGTACATGCTGACATCCCTAGTACAAAGGCATTGAAAGACACAAAATCCCCACCCTGAAAAGCTCACAGTTAAACATATTTAGGGTAGGGACCAAATGTTTATACGACATCTAGAATAATGGGACCTAAAAATGCTATGGCAACTATTCAATATTAAGTAATGCAAAGGCTATGGAAGACTATATTAATGACACAAGGCTTTAGGGAGAAAACAAATGAAGGCAGGAGAAAATGATGAGTCTCAAAGTTTGTAAAGAATGCAAAAAACCACAATCATAAAACCAAATATGATTAATAAAACTGAAAGCAACGGAAACATGCAAGTGAAGGAAATCAAGTTTATCTGAGTTTACTACAATACTTACTTAGTGCATGATACATAGGTTTATGCTTCCCCTGAAGTCTGATTACACTCACGGCTGCAAGTTTTCCAGGTGGCTGCAGCTTCCCATCTATGAGATACCAGGCTCTGGCAAAAGTAGCCCATTGCTAGAGAAGATTAACCACAACTTTGTCAATGCAGCAAAATAAATATAACTCAACAAAACCACACTGTTAGATATTTGAGAGAAAATACATTAGGTACTTTAATGATATCTTAACATCCTAAGCCTGTAAGTATTTACACACTTATCTTGCAGTCACTTAGACATCATATACTGCAAACATTTATGCAGAATCTTAATTTCACTGCTGTGCAAAGGGAAGTGCCTGAGTGTTGGCAGAATCCTGATGTGTTTGTAAGATTAAAGCCTGTTTGATCCTTTCTTTCTGTTGTACAGGTTGGACTTCCCTTGTCTACCTAACAAGTCCCAAATGAGGGAATTTGCTCGAGCAGGGAAGGTCCTCGTCACCCACCCCCAGCCTACTGTCCCTTCTTGCTGCTAGTTCTCCTTCAGCCCCTCTGCCTCTGCTCCAGCTGGAAGATTCCTGTACAGCCAGCTGGTCCCCACCTGCCATCAGATTTCTGGCCCTGACAGGGCTTCTGGCCATGGGGCTCTCTGGTCCAGGAACATCTGTGGTCTTGATGGACCACAAAGTCCTGGTTAGACAGGCACAACCTATACCCGCCTTATTGATTGCAGCCCTACAAAATAAGCTGCTGCATGTGGTGCACTCATCTCTCCAGGCCAGGAGAGTAACTATAGCAACGCATGGAAGCTTTGCCTGGGGGAGTGGGGGGAACGGACTGCTAGGGAAGTGCAGAGCCCCCGGGGCTTGGTCTTGATGGACCACAAAGTCCTGGTTAGACAGGCACAACCTATACCCGCCTTATTGATTGCAGCCCTACAAAATAAGCTGCTGCATGTGGTGCACTCATCTCTCCAGGCCAGGAGAGTAACTATAGCAACGCATGGAAGCTTTGCCTGGGGGAGTGGGGGGAACGGACTGCTAGGGAAGTGCAGAGCCCCCGGGGCTTAGGCCAGCACGACGCAGGCAGCTCTCACGCCCTAGGCCGCGGCCCACACGCCTGCGGGGAGAAAGGCCCCGCGGCCAGTGAAGGGCGCAGCCCGCGCTCCCTCGCCCCCTTTCCCGCCCCCGA